GTTATGCGCACTGCACCAGACTTAGAACCCAGGTCATATGCCGTGTGAATGAGAGCTGAAACCTTGGTGTGCACGTCAATTTTGATCCATTTATTTCCATCATATTTGAATCACCTGAACGAAAAATGAAAGGAAGACCTTTCCGCAATGATAGGCATCAGACATTTGAGCAAGAGCAGCCACTTGTTTATAACCCGCCCAAGATCAAGGTCAAACGGATGACCTCGGTGGTGGCTAGCGGTTGGATCGGTTTTCGCGTTGTTTTCGATGGTTCAGTTCTGTCGACAGCGCAACCTGTTACCCTTCAACCCCACCGTCATTCACGTAGTCGTTGGTTTGAGTATGAAACTGACAGACGACTCCCGCCGCCCCGTCACCGCGCCGCTGCGGCGGACCTGAGCCCCGCCGCCGCCGCCACCACGGGCCGGACACCTGGACATGGGCCATATGTGCTGTGAAGCATTTCAATCCATAACCCGGTCTTTGTTACAGATGATTGCATGCAACTTGCTACAGACATCCATCACAATCATATCTAGGACACGTTTTTTGCTGTTTTTTTTATTTTGAGTCTGAGAAAAATGTTGAGTGTACTTTTCATCAATATTTTTGCGATCTGACACGCATTTTGACACTTTTTATCAACATTTTTCTTAGCTGACGTGGCAATACTTCAATGTGCAAAATTGAAACAACGCAACACAAAATATGAATGATAAACCTACTTGGCTCACATTTCCCGCACACCGATATCAAATATGTTCCTTCGTTCGGGTTGAGTGTCAATTTTTATTCGGCTGTGTGTTTCCATCGACAATAGCAAACATCGCGTCCCTCTGGCGTCACTTACGCTTGATCTGTTGTGGTCTCGTAGTTTCTATTTTGGTAAAATGCGTAAAACTCTACAGTTGACAGCTACTGATAATTTCGCAACGATACCTCACAGCGTGTTTAAATTAGGGCGAATGTTGGACAGGGGGGGGGGGGGGGGAATTCGACCCCGTCCAATGCCGGGCTAAGATCTACATTATTCCAGTTTTGAAGTACACGCCCGCGATGATGTGCAGACATTTTTGTGCATGGTTTTTTGGCGCCCATGCATCTAACACGCATGAAGACGTCATCAAAATACTGTCATTCCATTAGCTGCACGGCGACCAAGGTCAAGAAAAGCATAATCGTCGGGTTGCTCATGCCTGGCGTTTATGAGCACGATTTCCAGATGTGACGGCCGTCAGTCAGCTCTCAATCAATGTTGTGCAAGATACGATGACGTAATTAAACAATGGCGTATTGAGGAACACATTTATTATAGAGAGAATCTGTCTTATTTATAGCCGTCGTTTCCATTTATGAACATACCAGTAGCAATGAGTGAGCTTGTTCCACCATACCTGGTACTTGCTTCAGCATGTTCAAATGTGACACATTCCCCTGAATTCGGTCGCATCGAATCGTGTGGTTGGCATATTACAAGGATTACTTACAGGCGCTGTTTTACCATAAGCAGAGCATCGCGGTAGAGGCTGAGAAAATCGTATCGAACCCTTCAGCACTTGCTGATACCCCAACGTCGAGCAAAAGACCCCTTGCCGTTAAAAAAAGAGAGATGACTGATACATGAGCGGTTGATCTGAGTATCTAACTTTATACATTTACGACCATGCAGACATTAATTTGCAAACATCAGCACACGTGGTATATCCTTACGGTATAGCGTATTCAGCCCCAACATTTCACGCGTCCTGCTCTCACCACGACGCGCCTGCGGTCCCAAGCGCTTACCAAAGGTACGCTGGGGTCTTAGAAACGCGTGCGAGGTGTACCTGTGCATAGTGCATGCGCTATAATACCGGCAGGTGTTCATTGCCTGGCATGAGGTGAGGGGCGATGTCCTTGCTGGTGCTTACGGTACGTGAACCCCTGATCTCAGCCACGATAGTCCGTAAAGGATTCATCGGTTTCTTATTTGCTAAGTTAATAATCTGATGATTCAGCTGCGGTGGTTTTGCGTTCTTTGGCTCTTACAACGATGACCAAGCATGTAAGTAGTGACGGAAGACAAGATACCGCACTGCATGCCTGCCATGTTTCGCCGCATATGTCCACAAAAGGATATCACTTAGGGGCGTATAATTCCAAAATACTTTTAAAAAGCGTTCTGTGCCTAAAGACTGTCAAACTACATACTACTGCACTAGATTTGCATGGCATCTTTATTCTGCATCACTGGAAGCGCCATCGCAAACTGGGCAAATAGGTACAAAATGTTTCCATTGCCTTGTCATCCGGTAGTCAGGGAGGGCTCAAAGGTGCGGACGGGCCAAGGAACATTATTGCGATCAATTTAAGTATATTGAAGTGGATGAAGAAGCACATTCCGATCTCTTATTTTCGGAAGTGAGAGTGAGCTTAATTACTGTTCATTGCATCCTAAATTATTTGACGTCTTCAGGCAGCACAGACAAAAAGCCGGCATCCGACGAGCACCCCACGACAAGTTTTTATACTACATCCCTGGATAGTAGTGGGGTTTTTCCACCACATCCTGACCTGCCGTGTCCGCTACCCTGCGGCCAGACACTTGGGCTAAGCTCGTTAGGCCTGGAAATCCCATGCCAAGCGATGGTCTGCGCAGATAACCCTAATACTCAGAAACGCTCGAGAATATGTGCCAAAAGATCCGTGACTTGGACAAGTTTTGATCGGCGATGCAAAAGTCCTCTGATTGGTCATAAACGATGCAGTGTTGCGTTGCAATGATAGGTTGACATGCCGTGAAAACGTCCAGCTGCTATTGGGCGTTCTATTGTGTCTGTTAACTTTTACCATAAGCTGATGAATGAACAGAAGCGAGAGCTACGATGGTACGTTTTGCGGTGAGCACTTTTGAATGTGACAAAGTTTGGAATAGCATATGTTCATTTCGCTTTCAGACATTTCAACAAAATGATCATAGCTGCTTGCCGCCTCAGTGGGCATCGCGACTGAGGACCATAAAATAGCAAAACAAACAGGTGAAATCCAGTCATGCAGCCAAATACCAACGATACGCAGAAATGCATCCAACTATTTGGCAAGAGGCTAAGGTACTTAGACAGGTGAGATTAGACTATTCGATAAGACAGACATATGCGGTTAGGCAGACAGATCAGTGGCAAGTTAGAGGCGAAAAATGACGCTGATGGTCCCTTCAGCATATTGTATGCCTGATTTCGTTCCTGCCCATTAGATTACACACAAATAAGTTGCTCAACACATGTATGCATATCGGACGTTCTTCCATTCAACATTAACAAAAACGGCATCAAAATCTTCGAAATAAGAACCCCTTATTATCCATCCCGGAGACACCCAAGACTTTCCGTTCAGTCTTAACCCTTAGATATGTACGATATCCGGACACGGCAAGGTGAATAGCGTTTGTCCCATGGAGATCAGTGATGTTCCAGAAACATACTAAATACTTAACATACTACAACTACAAGTATAAACATAAACTAAATTAAAACCATCACTAACAATACTAAAACTATCATTAACAACACTAAAACTAACATAAACAAAACCAAGACTAACATAAAAAACTAAAAAAAATACTACTACTACTACAAATATAAAAGTAAATATAAACATAATAGCTACATACTAAATACGGGCACAGTGATATTCCAGAAACATCCCAAATTCCGCATTATATTTTCCCCGGCCACCTATATTTTCATCCATTTCCAATGTGCGAAAGTGTAAATGAGAATCTCATTGGGACAAATCGCATGGGGTTTATAACAGGAAAATCGAACAAATGATTTCCTCGGAATCTGTGGGAAGGTATAATCTGTTCTATCCTGCACATCAGAGTAACTTCTGCATCTCGCAGAGAATAGGACTACTGCGTTCTTTTCGTTCTTTTCAGCTGCATCAAATGCATGCTATTTGTCTTTTATGCAGGGAGTAGAGCTGTGTCAGGACCTATATGATCTAGATCAGATAGTATCCGAGGTATCAGCACAGGTCACCTGAGCCCATTTACGACCTCGATCCCACGTCATCAATGATGAGGGTTTTTAATAGGCGATAAGCTTGAGTCAGTTGGGGTTTCGGTTGGGGATGGGGTTTCATCCCTGGTCTTTTGTGAGCTATGTTGTCATGGACATTGTACTAAAAAAAAACGAAATGATAGGTGAAAAACGTGATGTGACCTTCAGGTGTCCCAGCCTAAAAAGTGGAACCGAATGGAAGCGTAGAATCATTATTAGGCTCTGCCGAGACACGTCAGCAATCGCATACGTACGCACACGTGAGTGCAAACGTCATACATACCAATGCGTTCTGTCACTGGACCGTTTCAACCGCGAGATCCTTTGCCATGGAGAGGTGGTGATAGCTTCCTGTCCCGTGCTGGTTTCAAAATACAGACTTCAACATTCAAAATGGTAAAATATATGTGCTCTGTGCTTCATGGATGTTAGATACCGACCGGAAGTTTGTACCTTTGTTGTTATGGGGCCTTGCTAAATTTGTTGTTATGGGGCCTTGGGGCCTGGCCTTGCTTGTTCATAAAATACACCGAAGAACGGGGTGACCATTTTGCTGGCCATCTCCCATTGAACTGTTGTTAACCGACTTTGCAGTGTGCATCCGTCCAATAACACGAACGGAAATGTCAAGAGCACGAACAAGGCGGGGCCCGATTTCCACAAAACCTCTCTTGCCGTTCTCGTCATATCTCCAATCACTCTCTGTTCATCTCCCCACCACGGCGTGTCATTCGTCGTCAAACCCTGCAGAAACCACGTCACGCCTGCTCAGCACGAAACGACTCGCTCTGAACGCTCTGGGACGCTGACGACTCCGCGATGAGCGCAGCCAGGTGTTTCCGTCAGCGATTGAGAACGGACAGCGCAGCCGCGCGATCCTCTGCATGGTTCCAACAGCCTCTGATCTCCGTTTGCCTCCCCTCCTCATCAGGTCAGCGCTCTCCACTGTCAAACGCAGCGCGCTTTCGGTCCGGCTTTATGTACAAAACAACCAACATCACTCGGCGCTGGGCGGACGCCCGGTGAGTAGAAAAACACAGGCGTCCCACATGGTCATTAGAGTAAAATTTGAGCGCAGAGGCAGTAGGCAGACGAGTCAGGCCCCTCAGGGCCTTCTCGGGAGCCCCGCACAGGCCTCGCACATCGCCGGAAGCGAGGCCCGACGGCGCGACAGACAACCAGAGGCCGGAGCGGGCCGAGGCTGAGGCGGCGGCGGCCGGTGCCCGGCCGGGCGCCGACGGCGGCCGCTCCTAGAGCGGCTCGCCGCACCGGCCGGCCGCGCGTTACTCCGCCGTCGCACCCGTCGCCGCGTGCCCGGCCACGCACTGCCCCCAACGGCACACACTCCACTCCGTGTTACCTGTACAACAACGTACGTACCCTAACGGCGCGCGCTCGCGCGGCCGACGAGCGGGTGGACCACCCGCCGATTCGTTGATCACTTCGGCCGTCTCGGGGACGGCCGACGACTGAACACACCCGAGCACCGAGCCCACACGGACCGCCGTCTGTGCGAGCCGGGCGCGCCACGCCGACTCGACGGCGCCGCCAACGGCTCCGGTGGCACTGATCGCCGCTGAGGTGCTCACCCGCCGACCGGCCCCACCTCAGGGCGCGCTCGGCGGTCGCCCCAGACGGGCTCGCCTTCGCAGCCAGCCAGCCGGCCGGCGCGACGGCGCACCCCGGCAAGTGGTGAGGCGTAGAGCTGCACAATGCGCTTCGCTTACAAGCGACGCCGGCGAGCGTGGCTGCCGAAGCCGGAGTAGAACATCCCCGGCGATCAGACCGCGCTCCGCGGAGGCGTGTGCCAGGACCGTGTTCGCAGCGCGTTTGATGTGCTCGTGGCGAACAGCCAGACCGTCCGCTCGGCGCGCTGCACTGCGCGCGGGGGGCGTTGTCTAGATTCGGAGCCGTCGGCAAGGAGTGAAGTGCCCGATCCGTGGCTGATGAGTGTACCGGACGGGACACCACGGCGCGTGCGACGAAAGCCCTGCTCGTGGCGTGCCTGACGAGCATTTTCCGTTCCCTAGCCAACCCGCACGGGTGTGGAACACCCGCAGAGACCGCAAACGGTAGCCAATCCGCACGGAAACCTGACTGCAGTAGACCCGCACAGGCACCAAGCTGCACTAGACCCTCACAGGCACCAGGCTGCAGTAGACCCGCACAGACACCAGGCTGCAGAGGACGTTCACAGGCACCAAGCTGCTTAAAGACCCGAAACGGCCACCGGGCTGCAGACGGCGCTCACGGAAGCCGCGCTGCGATCCACCGCGGGCCACGGTCCACGCAGAAGCAGATTTAAACCGTACCCCAACTGCAGCACTCCCGGACGCCAGCACAGCACCGGCCCCGCCGCGCCGCAGTTCACGTGTGGCGGCGCCGGACCGCCTCCAGCCGCGACAACCACCTGCTCCGATGCCCTCCCGGCCCCCGCGGGCCCCGCTCCTCCCCAGCTGCCGCCGCACCGGCCTCCCCCCGCCCCATCCGCGCCACACTCAAACCATGCCCACGCCGCCAGCCCGTCCCGGCCGCGTCCGACCGCAGCGCACCCTCCGCCGGCGCGCCCCGGCGGCGGCGGCGCTCGCCGGCCCGGTCTACATCTGCACCCGCGACAGCCGCGTCTCCAGCTCGCCGATCAGCTGGTCGGTGCGCTCCGACTGGCCACGGAACTTGCCCGGCTCCGGGCCGATCATCTTGATCAGCTGCGGCACGTCGTTGTACGACACCTGGCCGGGAGGACAAAGTCATTAAATTAATCATTTAATTTCATTAATTAACAAAATCATTAATCATAATACATCATATACATCAAATACATCCTAACACAATAAAATCATCTATCATTAACGATTAACGATCTTTTTTTTTACTTGAGAACATTATATTAAAGTTAAATGTAATATTCTCAGATAAAAACAGTAGAATCTGACGTCAGAAAACCGGCTTTGTCGTCCAGGACACTCTCGATACCCACGTGGTTTCAAACGGGGGGAAGGGGGCACCAGACGTTCAATAACTAGTCGCGCATGGATTGCCGACCTGTTGAAGTCGACAATCCACGCGCGCCCTGTATCACCATGAGTGACGTCCTTGAGCCCTCTATGAAACACTACACGGAGTTCCCCAGGCTTCAAGCAATACAAGCATACAACAGCGAAAAGCGAACATAAGGAAAAGTGCCGCTCATACCCCGTATGACGTCCCCACTAAGGTCGCGTTCGCCATCTGCCGCAGCGGTTACCCTACCTGAGCAAATTTGGCCAGGGCGCGCATGCAGCGGTACACGCGCTCCTCTGGCGGCGAAGTCTGGAAGTATTGCAGGATCGCCATGGCCAGCTCCGTGGCCACGTCGTCGAACACCTGGCGGCCGGAAATGAAAGCACCGATGTGACTGCTGACAACAGGTGGCTAACCGATAGACCGGGGGAAAACAGCGCAGGGAGATGGGCAGCCCTTGAAATCACGCATCGTTTGTTAATGGCGAAAAGAAAGACACTGTACTTAAAGCGTTCATTGCAACTAAATATCACAGGCATAAACAAGACACGAGCATGCTACCAAAATCTGCTTTCGGCAAATGCGCTCAAGCTGAACAGCGGAACAAACTTGCCAGACGCAATAGCACTACAGAGTCTTAACGGCTCGCACCCGCCCAGCCACTTACCTTGTTGAGGCTTCCCATGGGCATCAGCTTCCGCATATTCATGTTAGTTTTCATTTTCTGCGGGTGAGAGCAAACCAAAGGCGGAGTATCGGGTGCCAAAACGGACAGTTACGTCACACGGCAGCCAGTACAGGGGTTAGTGGGCTCGAGAGACGGTGACGCCCGGCCTGGAGCAGGACTCGGAGGCTCGGCGGGCGGGCCGAGGCAGACCGGACCTCGGAAGGGGACAAATTTGCCGGCCAAAGGTGCCCAGGCTTAGTCGACGCGGCGTCCCGATCACGGACAATAATATTCCGCGATATCCAACGAAAGTGAGCAGCCGCAAATGCTATGAAATCCCTGTGACCTTCTACAAAAGTTCAACTCGCGAAAAAGGCCCGCCGTAAATGTACCTTGCAGCTATAATGGCAAAAAACACCAGGCATGGTTCAGAAATATCATACATACAAGCACCCATAATGGAATAAAGAAGTGGGATGGGCGCTTACGGAACAAGGCTACAATAAGACGGCGCTGCACTTGTCAACATACATTCTGCAGTCCATGACGTAACGCAAAATGATGTCAATTCTGCTTTTGCGCGGGGCTGATCAATCAAACACCCATTAAACCCTCCAGGATGAGTGACCTGAGCCGCCGCGGTCAGACCGCGTGAGCTGGAGGACGGGGGAGGAGATCCTGCTCATCCAGCAGGTCAGGTCCCAGGCTGGTCAGGCCGTGTGGGCTGGAGGACGGGGAGGAGACCCCGCTCATCCAGCAGGTCAGGTCCCAGGCTGGTCAGGCCGCGCGGACTGGAGGACGGGGATGAGACCCCGCTCATCCAGCAGGTCAGGTCCCAGGCTGGTCAGGCCGCGTGGACTGGAGGACGGGGGATGAGACCCCGCTCATCCAGCAGGTCAGGTCCCAGGCTGGTCAGGCCGCGTGGACTGGAGGACGGGGGAGGGGACCCTGCTCATCCAGCAGGTCAGGTCCCAGGCTGGTCAGGACGCGTGGACTGGAGGACGGGGGATGAGACCCCGCTCATCCAGCAGGTCAGGTCCCAGGCTGGTCAGGCCGCGTGGACTGGAAGACGGCGGATGAGACCCCGCTCATCCAGCAGATCAGGTCCCAGGCTGGTCAGGCCGCGTGGACTGGAGGACGGGGGAGGAGACCCTGCTCATCCAGCAGATCAGGTCCCAGGCTGGTCAGGCCGCGTGGACTGGAGGACGGGGGATGAGACCCCGCTCATCCAGCGGGTCAGGTCCCAGGCTAGTGACGGAGATGACTGGACCCGAGCCGCTGCGGTCAGGCCGCGTGAGCTAGAGGACGAGGAGGTGACTGGACCCGAGCCGCTGCGGTCAGACCGCGGGAGCTGGAGGACGGGGGGGGGGAGACCCTGCTCATCCAGCAGGTCATGTGCCAGGCTGGTGGCGGAGGTGACTGGACCCGAGCCGCTGCGCATGCGCACTACCGGCACGAGCCGAGGCGGGGCCGGCAGTGGGACGTCTGCCGTCCCCGCCGCTGGCTCTGGTGGCCACTACAGACAGTGATGACGGTGCGAGCCGGCGCAGAGGTGGGCGGCAAAGACCAGACCGCCGGCCGGTACACCAGCGCTGACACACACACTCTGCTTAGTCTGGCGGTGCAAAGAGGAGTGCTTCACGCGTCACCCGCTAGCTCTGGCAGCAGCGCTGACGACAGCAGCCACCGCAGCCGAGGGGAGTCGGATGCACAGACTGCGGCTGATGCTGCGGACGGAGCCGCCAGCACCGGACAAAATGGATCGTGCGGAGGACAAGACATTAGCGCGGCAGCAAAAACGGACGGGTCGCTCGCTCCGTCCACAGAGCGCGCGACGGGTGCGGCAGCATCAACCTCTACTCATACGGGTAGAACGTCTACTCGTGCCGGTAGAAATCGATACTGACCACGGTTTTTACCTCCTTCACAGCCAGGTTGTACATGATGGCCGTGCCGCGGTCCTGCATGTCGCCGGAATCGGCCAGCAGGGCGTTCACTGCCACCTGGCGGCGACGGCGGCAAACACGTCACGGCACACGCGGGAAGCACGGCCGCAACGTTGCGACCGATTCTTAACAAACGCGCGGGCCGTCACAGTTCTGGACGCGGTTAACGAGTCCATCCAACGGCGTCAGCTGATGTGCATTCTCATTTTCTCACGCTACTCAACGTTCTCGTCGCCAACAAGCGAATGGCGCGCGCTGCAGGGTCGGTGCGCGTTTCGGCGCGACGCGACCGTAACGTATCCAAGGTCCGACGCACCTTCACCTCACCTTCCACTGTGAACACGGATGAGGGCTCATCATGAGGAGCGGCGACGAGCGCACGGGCGGGCCAGCCGCGTCCTTCCTATCCCCCTCACCCCCTCACCTTGACCCAGCCCCAGCCAACCTTCACCACCGCTTTTGACCGGGTGCGTTCTCCCCAGCCTCGCTCTTCTCTCTTCTCGCCTCCCCCCCCCCCCCCACACGCATGTCAGCAGCAGCAGCAGCAGCAGCAACTGCGGCGGCTGCGGCGGCGGCGTACCTTGGTGGTGACGCGGATGTTCGAGATGGGCATGTTGTTGTGCGGGCTCTGCCACTCGGAGATGTACAGCAGCCACTCGCTGCTGCTGTTCTGGTCGAACATGTTGGCGAACTGAAACGGCGGTCGGGCGCGCCGTCAGTCCACCGTTGCTGACGCCGCGGCAGACAGCGAGGCGGACAGCGAGGCGGCAGCGACGCCGTGTGCCGCCGCAGCACCCGCTAGCGGCGGCCCCGTCTGCTCGCCGCGGCACCCGCTGGCGGCGGGGCCCGTCCGCTCGGCGTTCACCGCCGTCAGCGGGAGCCAGGCACAGACCGACACCGCACCTGGTGACACTGCTCCGGCTGACTGTCGCTATAGGTAACTGTAGCTGTCACTGTAACTGTTGCTGTAACTATGGGTTTATCAGTAATTCATTCCACACCAAAATGCTTGACTCCGTACCAAAATATCCCACTGCACACACACACACACACGCACGCACGCACGCACGCACGCACGCACGCATGCACGCACGCACGCACGCAGGCACGCACCCGCACCCACACCCACACCCACATATATATATATATATATATATATATATATTATATTATATATATTCAGTATATATATATATATATATATATATATATATATATATATATATATATATATATATATACCAGAGCTGGTGCACCCCAGCGCGTGACTGACCACTGGCGAGAGGGCAGGTAGCTCGCCACCTGGCTTCACACGTTAATACATACCCGGTGTGCGCACCCGGCCTCGTGTCTATGCGCCAGACCCACCCCCAGTGGGCGGACAGCATACACTTCTGATGTATGGGATACCAACAGGGCGCATGTCATATACATCTGATCTAAAGGAGATCCATATATCCACCGCCTGTATCTGGTCTGTGTAGGGCATGACTCACCATCAGGGACAGGGCGGCCTGTTCATCCTGCGGCAGCCGGTCCACGTCGTCGGCGTAGTTCATGATCACGTGCTCACGCCGGTCCTGTCAGCACGGGGTCACGTGTTGCGGGCTGGTGCCAATCACACCTCAGCCCTTCCAAATCCCTCGGACACGGCGCGAATATCGATTTGAGTAAACATCTCGCACTCACTGCATCCAGCTTATCCCCACTGTAACTACCAGCTGAAACTCGCAATCGTTTGATGAGCAAGCAGTGGCAATGTTCCCAAGTGACGTCTAATCTATAACCCCATTCCATACCAGATCTCAGTGGTCTCATTCATGCCCCAGCCGAAGCGACGGCGACGGCGACGGCGACGACGACGACGAATACGACGACGACGGCGACGACGACGGCGGTGGCGGCGAGCAGGATGGAGGTGGGGCGGTCTGTGCGGTAACCTCTGTGTACATTGTTGATGGGATAGGTATAGAACATGGGTTCTCTGTCTTGAACGATTTCTATTCGGCCGTTCTCGAGAATCAACATACGTCGGCCGTATCGACCCGGCCGGGAGCCGGGCGGCCAGCCGCGCTTATGAGGCCATATCGTCCTGCCCGGAGAGGGCGGCGGCCAAGAGACGGTCAATGCCTCGGCCGGGCGGCCGGGCCGCCGCCGCGTGACGTCACCGACCGGCGCCGGCCCTCAGGTGAGCGGCAGCCGGCCCGCCTCCGGCCGGGAGACCGGGGACCGAGACAGGGGGCCGGGGTGGCTCTGAGGAGGCGCTGGTGTTGGCCGGGGGCGCGGACCTGGGCCATCACCATCGGAGCGGCATCATTGGGGCCCGGGTCATCGGAGCAGGCCACCAGGAAGGCTCTGATGCCGGTGATGTGATGCCGGTGACATCAATTCGGAAGGTGACTGTCGTCGCCTTGGTGACGTCAGGGGATAAGGACATCCACCCGCGTGGGTCACGTCAGGTCAATTCGTGTCAGCTCAGGTCAGCGCACCCGGCTCGTGACCACGCCTCACCCACTGAGCTGGTAAGGGGCCAGCACGCCGCCTCACAGTGAGGCCACAGCCCAGGTCAGGTCAGTTGAGGTCAGGTCACGACGGCGGCCGCCCCGCCCACCGACCTGGTGCAGGATCAAGATGAAGTCGTCCCGCAGCGTCGCCACAGACAGCAGATTGAGCAGGTGGACCCGGGAGGTCGGCGGCAGGGACTTGTCGTGCAGGATTCGACCTGCGACAAACGCGACCCGGTCAGCCCCAAACCTGGTCCGACGCACCGCATACGTAGTAGGCTATCGGTAACGGGTCCCGGAGCCGGCCCTCAGCCGACCTGGTCAGCGGCTGACCGGCGCGGCCGGCCGTGTTCATGCCTACGGGCATTGACCACGTGACCTGGCCGAGGTCTCTTGTGCGGGCCAGAGTGGCTGCAGACTGGAGGAAAGGACGGCGGAGTGTGGCCGGGGGTTGGGTGTGTCCACGAGAGCGACTGTAATAAGGGTGACCGAGTGAACCAAGGTCTACACAAACTTGGTAGGTGCTACCTTCAAAACGCTAGGGGCACGCCTCTACGCCTAAATTGAAGGGGGGAGGTAAAGTGGGCAGCCACGACGGTACGGTTGCTTAATAAATACTCCCCGCTACCGAAGGCAACAAAAGACGGTGACAATATTGAGCCCAAAGATCAGCTTCCGTGACATTCAAAGAGTCGGGACGAAGATGCCCACCCGTAAGGCTTCTGACCGTCAAGTCAGTTTGGAGGTTACATGACATCTCTGCACCAAGCAGGGATGCAGGTCCGACGTCGAACGTCGTCAGGGTTCAAAAACAATGTGTCCTCAGGGTTAAAAAATAATGCGTTAAGAGGGTTCAAAAATAATGCGCCACGTATGCCCGACCCGTGGAGACGCTACCATACCGCCTACTAAAATGTCACGACGGAACGGTTAAATCACGGTCAGCACGGGCTGTGCAGTGAGGCTGTGCTACAGCCTATGGCCGAGAACAGAGACGACACGCGGCCGAGTGCAGCTGCCTTCCCAACGCTGGCAACATTACCGCTCACACTGAGTGAAAACAGACAGAAATTGAGTGAAACCCGACTATCCCAATTAGCTTTGCGACGTTACCTTTTCAGCGGCGCAAGTTTTGCGACGTTACCTTTTCAGCGGCGCCGGTATTCAGCGTACTAGCTTTACGACAGAAACTTTTCCAATTTAAAGCGTTGAACAGCGTCGCAGCTGTTGGCCGTTGTGGCGTACGACTGACCGAGGAAGTTGATGAAGTTCTCTCCGAGCGCCCAGGCGCCCTCGTCCTCCAGCATGTACTGCCGCAGCTCGGCGACGTTCTGCTGCTCCTCGGGGCTGAGGGCGGGCCCGGCGGCCGCCTCCAGACCGGCGAACTCGGCCAAAACCTGGAGACCGAGGCGTCACAGCCGTTAGCACTGGGACAGACCTTGGCGACCAAGCCGCCACAGCCGTCAGCCCTGGAATAGACCCTGGCGACCAGGCCGTCACAAGCCGTCAGCACTGGGACAGACCCTGGCGACCAAGCCGTCACAGCTGCCATAGCAGTCAGCACTGGGACAGACCCTGGCGACCAAGCCGCCACAGCTGTCACAGCCGTCAGGACTGGGACAGACCCTGGCGACCGAGCCGTCACAGCCGTCCCCTAAGGTAAGAGCTCCGGTGACCTCACTGAGCCTTCACAACCCTCAACAGGGCCACAAACTCCCGTCACGTCACGACGCGGTTTTACCCGGCCAGCGACCGATGAAGAGGGTCTCTGCCGTCAGCAGAGAAGTAAACCTGATCGAGACTTTGTGCATGTGTGGCCGCTGCTTAGGCGCCTGAGGAACCAAACCCAGTAGTATTCAATTGCACTTTTCCTGCGCGCTATGCCTCCATGAAGTTAAATCAGCACACTCTACTCGTGCCAATATTTGACATCAAAGGCGCGCACCTAAGACGTTCCACAGACTCATATCTCAATGGGCAGAGCTTGGGCCATAAGCCAATACAGCACTGGGCCTGCGATGGTCGTATTCGCGGCGGCAATGCAAAGATACGGCCGGTTTGCCCCCCCCCCCGCGAGGAATCGAACCAGTTTCATAACGATACTGCAGGCTTCCGAAAGATGCCGGCATTGAGTGATGCATGAAACTAATGCCCTCACTGATGCGCTTCCAATGCATGTTGAATCATTGCCCAATTCGTCGTTAAACGCACGCACGCTCGGGCCCGAAATGTGTCGGGCACTTGTCATGGCCATTTCGACCGCATGCCCCGGAACGTTTCACACAGGTTTGTTGCAGAACGAGGGCCAGCTAAGTGTGAAAAGCCATACACGTGGATGGCACGTAATGCAACGCATACATATTCACATACCGAGCGATGTCGGCGTTCTCCGTCCACCGACACCCACCTGCCCGTATCCCACCCGTGACCGCCACCGTAGAGTGACGTCACCTCCGGTGCGCGCCGCGCCCCACAGCGGGCGGGGGGGGGGGGGAGGGGAGGGAGACCGATAAGAGCCACCTTGTGTAGTCGGCCGGGGATATCGGCTCCAGTGCGGCGACAGACGGCCGGCCGGCGAGAGCGCGCGGCGACGCCGCCGTCGTGCACGGCGCCACGGCGCCACACGGCCCTCTAACGGGAGGACCGCGGCTGCCAGAGAACCGGAGCGACGCTGCAGAGGCGCGGCAGCGGACCACACGACGAAACGCCGCCAGACCAGGGGACTGGTGGAGCCCGGCAGGAGCGGTACCACGGCGGCGCAAGACTACAAGACCGGTAGGTGAGACCATAGGACCGGTGTGTGGGACCACAGGACCGGAAGGTGGGACCACAGGACCGATAGGTGGGACCACAGGACCGGTAGGTGAGACCACAGGACCGGAAGGTGGGACCACAGGACCGGTAGGTGAGACCTTAGGACTGGTAGGTGAGACCACAGGACCGGTAGGTGAGACCACAGGACCGGTAGGTGAGGCCACAGGACCGGTGTGTGAGACCACATGACCGGTAGGTGAGGCCACAGGACCGGTAGGCGGACCCGTGGCCAGCGGACTCAGCCAGCGTCAGAAGGACCGGCCGGCACCGGGCGCCGTGAGTTGCGCTGTCAAACGCTTTATTTCGTCCGCATTTGCGAGTTTGGCGAATAGTTTGAACAGCTCACGGGAGGTGTCGGCTTACAACGGATGTCTAAAGCACAAATTTCTGATTGCGATGCCCGGTAGATGATCCAAATCCATTCCCAGGCGTGAGGCGCGCCGGCTTCCCCCCAGCGTCACGGCAACGAGGACACCCACGCGGCCGCAGTGGCGATGTTTCCTGCGGAGCGCGCCTGAACAAGCCGACGACAGGGGCGACGCTTTCGCCGCGTGCTGGTGCACGATCGCTTCTCCGGTCGGCGTCGGCACAGACGGATCCGCGGTGCCGGCGGTGCTGATGTCGGGCCGGGCGTTGGTGGCGGCGCGCGGCAGCCGCGGCCGACGGCGCCGCTGGCTGCTGCTGGCCGCCGCCGCACCGTCGCTGCTCTACCTGCTCTGGCTGCTGTGGTGGCGTCCCGACCCGGCGCTCGAGGCCGTCTTTTACCCCGCCGCCGCCGCCGGGTCGCCGCCCTCCCCGCCGGCCGTGCGCTCGGAGCGCTGGCTGGCCGTGCCGGCGGCGCCGCCGCTGCCGGTCGACGGCTGCCTCTTCCTGCTGGAGACTTCGGGCCGGCGCCGGCTCACGCCGCGCGAGTGGTGCGCCGTTGAGTCGGCGGCGCGCGCGCACCCGCGCCTGCTCGTCGTGCTGCTGGTGGCGGCGCCGCGCCTGCGCCGCTCCGCCCTCGCCGACCGGCTGCTGGCGCGCAACAACACGATCGTGGCGCGGCTCGACTTCGGGTCGGTGTTCGCGGGCACGCCGCTCGAGCGCTGGTACCAGAGTCGCGCCGTGCTGCGCTCGCGCTGGGCGGTGAGCCACATGAGCGACGCGGTGAGATTCGCGCTCCTGCTGCGCCACGGCGGCCTCTACCTCGACACGGACACCATCGTTCGTCGCTCACTGGCCGGTGAGAGAGAGGGAGAGGGAGAGGGAGAGGGAGAGGGAGAGGGAGAGGGAGAGGGAGAGGGAGAGGGAGAGGGAGAGGGAGAGGCCGAGGGAGAGGGAGAGGGAGCGGGAGACGAGGGTAGCGGGAGATGGGGAGGGGATAAAGAGAGGGAGAGGGGAGAAGAATAGAAAGACGAAGAAGAGAAAGACGAGGTAGAGGGAGGATAAGGGCGAGGGCGAGTGAAGAAGAGAGAGAGAGGAGAGTGCGAGGGAGAGAGGAGATGGAGGTGAGATGGGCAGAGAGGAGAGGAGGAGGGGGAGGGAGGGACGAGAGAGGAACAAGGAGGAGCGAGCAGGGGGAGAGAAAGAGAGGGAGAGGGAGAGAGGACAGGAAGAGGGACAGGGAGAGGGACAGGGACAGGGAGAATGAGCCGGGAGAGGGGAGAGGGAGAGGGAGAGGGAGAGGTGAGAGAGAGGGAGAGTGGCTGCCGTACGCGGAGAGCGTTGTGAGGGTCGCGGTGGGGCGGGCGGGAATACGCCCGCGTTTCCGTCAATGCGGAACATGGTCGTTCTGAATCGTGGGGGGGGGGGGGGCGGGGGGCGCGCCCTCACAGTCGCCGAGATACGGTGGCGCAACCGCGGTGGTATACTTTCCGATGGAGGTGGTGGGACCCCTCCTGGGACTGAGGGCATCCGCAACGCATACCAAATGAGCCCCAAGCATATAAAGGCCCCGCAAACTCAACACCAATGCTCCTCCGCGACAAAGTTGGTCTACTGGCTGGAAAGGCACCTGTAACTCGCTTCGGCCCCCTCTTGACCCCTTCCTGGCCCCTAAGAGCAACGCCACTGTGGAGACGATGACGGCTTGTGTTGTCTGTGGCAATGAGTAGAACGCCCAGGTCTGCATGATCCGCTGACGGCCGCGCCGACCATCAGCAAGGGGGGGGGGGGGGGGGAGAGCGCCACCAGCACAGCAAACTTCGGCCCGACAAGGCTGCACCGCCTGCTCTGTCTCGAGCGGCACGTGCCATCCGTCGCTGGGAAACCAGCGCGCCCCCAGCGACCGCCGGACCCAGCGGCGCGGCCTGATCCGCCGCTAGCCCCGGTCAGCCGGTGACCTCCGTCTGCGCCGCCTGCCGCCAGAGCTGGACGACGGCGCCGGCCTGGAGTCGGAGCACGCGGTGGCGGCGGGCGTGCTCAAGTTCGGCCGCGGCTCGCCGGTGCCGCAGCTGCTCGCGCGCCGCCTGGCGGAGGACTACGACCCGTACGACTGGGGACGCAACGGGCCCGGCGTCGTCACCGAGGTGCTCACCGAGAGCTGCGGTCTCCGGCGGCTGCCGCTGACGGCCTCTCACTGCGGCCACTACATCATCTACGGACGGTGAGAGCGCGGACCACCACATCAGCTACGGACGGTGAGAGCGCGGACCACCACATCAGCTACGGCCGGTGAGAGCGGGGACCACCACACCAGCTACGGACGGTGAGAGTGGGGAACACCACCCAGCTACGGACGGTGAGAGCAAGCGGCCACTACACCAGCCAAGGCCGGTGAGAGCGGGAACCACCACACCCGCTATGGACGGTGAGAGCGGGCGGCCACTACACCAGCTACGGACGGTGAGAGCGGGGACCACCACAACGGCTACGGCCGGTGAGAGTGGACGGCCACTACACCAGCTACGGACGGTGAGAGCGGGCGGCCACCACACCAGCTAAGGCAGGTGAGAGCGGGCGCCACCACACCAGTTACGGACGGCGAGAGCGGGAACCACCACCAGCTACGGCCGGTGAGAGCGGGGACTACCACACCAGCTACGGACGGTGAGAGCGGGAACCACCACCAGCTAAGGCCGGTGAGAGCGGACGGCCACTGGTGACGGCCTGCCAAGCCAACAGAGCGAACGGTCGACGCGTAAAAGAGCGTAAGGAAGACTGCCGCCGCCGATGGCGCGGAGCGTCTGCGGCGCCACACTGCTAATTGCCACACGAGGCGCGATGTTCACAGCAGCGAGGATCAACGCGCTGTGCGGTGTTCCGAGCGGGCCTGAAGCGGGAGGTCGGTCCTCTCCGTGCGGCCGTTGTACTGAGATCCAACTAATGACCGCAGGATATGACAGACTGTGTGTGCTATCTGTTCTATGCTCGTGGTGTGCCGATGTGTGAGCCCGACGCCGTCGTGAGCCTTGAATTACATGTGCACCCGTTTCTACCTCCTCGACAGATGAAATCAAAGTTTTGCTTCACACACCGCGCAGCTGCGCCCCGCCTCCGCCCCCGATGTGTTGCCACACCGCCGTCCTGACCCCGCCCCCCCCCCCCCCGCCGCAGGCGTCGCTTCTACGCCATCCCGTGGATCGACTGGAGCCTGCTGCTCGAGCCGGCCGCGCGGGACGCCGTGCTGGAGCGCGTGGACGGCTCATACGTGGTGCACACGTGGGCGCTGTTCACGCGCGCGCGCCGCGTGCCGTCCGGCTCGGCGTACCACCAGCTGGCCGAGCAGCACTGCCCCTGGTCGCTGCAGCTGAGCGGCGCCGGCCTCTGACGTGACGCAGCCGGTCTCCGCGCCACGTTCGACACACGTGAACTCGCTGGCCGAGCCCGACCAGCGCCGCTGGGGGCGACACGGGGGACAGAGAGAAGCGACAGGGAGACGGCAGGAGCGACAGCAGTCCCGGCGCCCAACGCTCGCACGCGACGGCTGCTCCCGTCCACAGGCACGTCCGTATCGCTGCCTGTCACAGCCGTCCCTGTCTGTCGCAGCCGTCCACAGAGCTGTGATGCAGATCTCGGGTGACGCGTCCCGCTCCGGGCACCGGGCCGGGACGGCGGTGCTGACATCGCAAACGTGTTTGCGCTTTGTCATACGGTGAATGGCACGGTTAAGCTGGGCGCGGTGATGCTGTGAGCAATACGGTGACACGACGAGGTGTAATAATTCGCTGGATGTGTTATATGAATGTCGCACAAATGGACCTCACTGTGTTTAGAGCAGCCTGTGTTTGCAGCTGTGATTGCCGTTTGCATAAGGAATGAATACGTGAAATGGCCGAAGTGGTTTGAGCGCGGAGGCAATCAGTACTATTCGGCCCTGAAAAGCAAATGTAGAAGTCGCAGGTCCAGGGGGCGAGACACCGCTTCTCGCCAGGTGGCAGCACCATGCGCTCTGGGGCGGCCGCCTCTGGTAACGCCGCTCCGCTCTCGAAAAGTCACAGTAGCGGAAACAAACACAAAACCTACCCCCTCTGGGCACATGTGGAGGCGATGAGCTCGTCTGGGGCCCCGTCAAGTATCAACACAATCAATGACGTCATAGTGCAGTTCGACCACGACTGGCGAGCGCAGTAGCGTCGGATCTACAGAAAGAAACACACACACAACCCTTCGTACATTTTCCTTCCAGATGTGCGATAGGGCCTAAGACAAAAAAGGCGACAGGCATAAAAAGGAGCCCTGACGTGAAGTCCGAATTTTTGGTGAGACTAAATGTCGTCACCACATGATATAATGTGCTTCTGGTCACCGCCAGTCTGGCCCTGCTTCGGTTACCGTCCTTTAGACTCCAATTTTTGTTGTGGCGTGTTTCATCTCACTCCTGGTCACCAGCAGCTAGATCTTCCCGTTGATCACCATCTGCTGGATCCTGGTAGGCCTGGCTGGATCTAGGTAGGTCTCGATGCAGACCTACATCTACGCCGACCTAGTGCACGTTCGGCGAGACCGATCAGGAAGCTCCGAACAACCTTACCGATTCGTATCACCAACACTGGACCTTACAACGGAAGCCCCACTGGACCTTACAACGAAGGCCTCACTGGACCTTACAACGGAAGCCCCAATGGACCTTACAACGGAAGCCCGCTGGATCTCACAACAGAAACCCGTATGCTACCGTCGGTCCAACCGCCGAGCTCCCTGCTGGCCCTCCCCACCGGCGCACACCACCCACACCAGCCCCCTGCCGGCCCGCATCCGCCCGGTCCGATGACCCCGACACCGGTGCCGCCCTCACACTCCACCCCCCCCCCCCCCGCCGGCGGCGTACTCACATCGGTCACGGCGTCCCTGAAGGTGATGGGCGGGATGCGCGGCTTCTCCGGCTCGGGCTCGGGCGCCGGCTCCTCGGCGCCGGGCGCCGGCGGCCGCGGCTCCGGCGGCGGCGAGTGCTGCTCGGACATGACGCCCGCTGGCCGCACCTCCACCTGGCCGTCGGCCGAGCCGCGTCGCTCGTCGGCCGCCTCGCTGCCGGCGGCGGCGACGGTCAGACGGCTCCGGCGGCACACGTCGGTTGGGTGGGGCGACACGCGGCGGGGAGGGGCGGTCGGGTCCGGGGCGTCGCCGCCCAGCCGGGAGCCGCCGCATCACGGCCGTGACTGCGCCGCCACCTCTCGACGCGTCACACCTCGACGCGTCACACACCTCGAGGCGTCACACACGTCGAGCGTCACGCGCACACGTGACGGTGTCGTGGCACGCCCGTAACGCCGGGGTCGGTGCGCGTTTCCACCGGCGCGCAGCCGATCCCAGGTCTCCCGGTCCCCGGACCCCCGTGCCGAAGGCTCGCCCCCGCGCGCCGGTCACGGAGCAGCGGTAGGCGGCGGAGGGTTCGGCGCGCGGACGGCGCACCGCGCCGGCGCGAGCACATCGCCGGCGCCGTCCAGACAGCCTGCGCTGGCGGCGGCTGGATCCTCACGGAGTGCGAGACGCGACGCCGACACATCACTCCCGCCGGGAGCGTAAACACCGCGATCGCTCACTGCACCGATCCTGCGCCGATCACGTGTGAGTTTCGGCACGCTATCTGGCGGCCAATGATAGCATCGCAAAAGATGGATCCTGACACAAGTCGCGCTAGCCGCGGCCTAACTACAACGCAGGACATCAACAGCTTCCACCACTCCATTCTCGACCTTGCCGCGCAGCGTCGCCATATTGAACAGTATCAGGAGACTTTCACAGTCATCTTTTCACTTCGCCTGGACGGTGTCGTAAAGGCCGTTACAGCCGCCGCCTCATAAAACAACGCACTAAAAGACTATTGTCTTCAAGTACAAAACTGCAGGCATGCTTTCACTTACTACGAGTTAAGAGTACTATCTAGAGTGCAATCAGAACAACCAACATTGCAGGTGTCAAACATGTTAGTCACGGAGCCGAGCCTCGCTTTCAGAACGCCATGCAGTACTTCATCACACGTGTCACAAACAGACATCAGTAAAAACAAAAACAAAAGCACACAAGCGCAGGGCCGGCGCTCAAAATGCAGGTCACACGCAGGCCGGGGGCCACAGGGCACACTCCGGGCAAGCTCCACTGAGGACTGCCGGCTGGCAGCCTCTCCGTCGCTCGCTCCCACGCCCCGCCAGGCCAACGGCATGTTAGTGGGCAGCCGACAGCGCCGCCCGCCGGCGCCAGCGCGCGGGGCGCCGTCCGAGCGGCCACCACGCGGCGCCACCGTCGCCGCCGGCCTCTCGCGCCCGCGGGTGGCGCCGCTCCGCCGTGCGGGGGGGGGGGACATGTACCTAAAGGTCACACGCCGGTCTCGCCGCTCGTCCAACCTCTGGCTGGCGTCTCCGCTGAGGAGCTCCTCGCTCGAGCCGCGGTGGCGCCGCTTCTTGTGGCCGCGACCCTCGCGGCGCTTCTTCTTGCGCTCGAACTTGTGGAGCTTCTCGCTGAGCGAGCTGCGCCGCTCCTCCAGCAGCTGGTTCTGCTTGCTGGGGGCGGCGGCCCGCCGCGTCAGGCGCGCGCCGCCGTCGGCACCGCGCCGGGGTGGTGGGGAGGGACGTCCGCCAGCCGGTGGCGGGAGGGGGAGGGGTGGAGGGGGTAGGGGGCCGGATTCGTCAGCCGTGCCGGACTACCTGGCACGTGTCGCAGGAGTGCGAACTGGAAGTTAATTCATCCGACAATAACGTGAGTCTACAATCACGGGATTGAGTGTAGGAACAATTCGCAGCAGTTCATAACTTGAACCACCCTTCAGCTGCATTCTAGATCACGGGCTCAACAAACATCCTCATTCAGTGGATAACGTGAATGAGGCGCATAATCGCAGGCCGACACTCACCGGATCTCCTCGACGCGCTGGTTGAGCTCGAGGAAGTCGGGGCTGTCCTCGCGCTGGCTGCCGGGCGCGTGGCTGCGCACGGGCACCGCCTGCGGGTCGCTCGGGTCGCGCTTCAGCGAAAAGCTGGCCAGCAGCGGCGCGATCGTCTGCCCCAGCGGGCTGCCGGCGGGACGGGGGGCAGGCCTCAGGGGGCGTGCTATGGGGAAGAGTCCCGGACAACACTACAGAAAGTGCCCGGGATTACACTGTGCGGACGCGAAACTGTGTGGTCTGCCGGGTGGCCTGCCGCGCTGCCGGCGGTAGGCGAGTTACGCAGGGGGTCACACTGCGACGGGGGAGGGGAGCAGATCGCCTGACCCGGCGGGACGAAACGGCGGTGGAGGGCGTCAGTCGTCCGCTCACGCCGCGGTGGGGAGGGGTCGTCTGAGGGTCACGGGACTGAATGCAACGGGTCAGATTAGGTCAGGTCAGGTCAGGTCAGAAACCACCAGTGGAGATGGTCTGGTTTGAGCCCGAAGACAGCGGGGAGAGGGCTAACCACCGGCTAACACCGGAGGGAAGAGAGGGACAGGGACACTACGAAGTGGATACCATCTGACCTTCACGAGTGGCAGCAAAGTAAGAGGCCAGGTGAAAATACCTGACAAATTTTGACTACTTGGGACCATTAACCCCGCGTGCTCATCCACCAATCACAGTCTCAGTCACCCATGTTTACTCCAACCACAGGTATTACGAGATTTACAGACCCAAGACCAAACAATTCACCACAGTTTATGACACCTGGTCATGAAAAAGACCCAATGATCGAGATGATCAAGGGAAGATGATCAAAACCCGACCCACCATAGCATCAGCGGACACCTATGCCAATGCGGTAGCCAAACACGCACCATATCAGAGAACTCACGTGTTCAGCAGCTCGTCGGGCAGGGTGAGGATGTACTTGGGGATGCCGTGGCCGCACAGGAAGGTGGACACCTCGTCAGCGAAGTTGTTGCAGTTGTGCTCCAGCAAGTTGTACTTCTCTGGCCTGCAGTGGGCGCGCACGGTCAGAGAGCTGTTGCCGCGGCTTTGAACCACATGTCCGCGGTAACCTGTTCGACACAGGCGACGACCACGCCACACCGTGCATGGCAAATCAGCCGCGAAAGCTACTTCAGCATGCACGTCAGCCACGGCATATCTGAAGCGACGGCCTGAACATCTGTGAATCAACGAACGGCTGAACAGGTCGCCTGCGATCGGCGAGTCCGGCAATACGATCCACGTCCACAGCTGTAACGTCCGCCGGCCGTGCTCGCAAAAGCCTGCACCCTACCAACGCCAAACGCGCGTTGGTGGGGTGAGACTATGACGTCATCTCGTAATCGTCATCGACGATATGACGTCGTCGACACGCGAGTGAGGCTATGACGTCATCTCGGGCGGACTCACGTGAACGTGCTCTCGCCGAGGCCGCAGACGTACTCGAGGAACAGCTGGTACGGCACCTCGGTCTCGCCCACCTTCTCCACGCGCGTGGGCTCGCCCAAAATCGTCCCGCCCTGCAGGGGAGCGGGTCGTCAGTGGGCGTCTGGCCTCCGCGGCGTGACGGGCCGAGATGCACGCGGTCACAGGTGCAGATGTGTTAAGATACGAACACGAAACACGGTAGTGAGGGTTTGGTGTTTAAGGGCGCGTCGGCATCGAGGTCGTGCTGTGCCTAGATGAGATGAGGCAGATGAACAGTGCGCATGCTGATGAATGTTTCCAAAACGCTTGATTTGCCATGATCAGTTGATGCCGACACGCAAATTACGGTCCGGTAAGAGCATACTCGTGTTACCTAGAGCCACCACTAGAATCATTCGCAAGGACTGGCGTTTGTTCCCCCAGCCACCACCGGCTCCAACAGTCCCGGCGAACCTGCCGCCAGAGGCCGCTTCTACAGCGCCCCAGCATTCCACAGCGCCGCCAGGCCACCCGACGCCCGGTCCAGCTCCTGCGACGCGCTCCCTTCCCGCCAGGGTGAGAGGCAGGCGACGCCACGTAACCTCAGCAGCTGAGTGCGTCGTAAAAGCCTGCTGACGACAAGACTCACGCTCCGGCCGGAGCTGATGTCCGGGCACGGCTCGGCGGCGAACACAGCCGCTGCCGGCGTGTCGGCCGGGACGGCCTACGTGCCCTCCGGCCGAGGCTGGCGGCATCCAAAACAAACCCGCCGCCACGCCCCCGCCGACGGAAATAACACCGGCTTCGGGGGGCGGTGGCCGTGTTTGACGGTGGGGGGCGAGCTGCACAGCGAACATGAGGAGTCGCTCTTTCTGAGATTGTTGTTCTCGGGGTGTAACAGCTCGTCATACAGCCCCGGCGTCACTTGGCCTCTAAATTACTCCCGATTTCTGCGAGGTGCAGCCATTCTTAGGGGGGGGGGGAGGGGGGGAACCAGAATCGAACCCCACACCTTGTTGTTGTGAGACAACCGCTCTCCCAACGAAGCCACACCATCCCCTTCGGTACAACGGCGTGCGAAATGCACATACTACTTCAAAGCTGGTCGACCAAGGAATGACGGTATAAGCGTACAAGGTTGAGATTGGCACGAACGTCACGTCGCCACCTCCAACAAACCCGTGGAGCGCGTGCGACGCGTGACCCAGCGTGGCGTCACCGACCCCGACCCGTGACCTGCTCTCCGTGAGCCGCCCAGCCCGGGTCGGTCCGGCGCGCGACACGAGAGCGAGCCGCAGCGGCAACGCGCCGCCGCCAGGTGGCGCGTCGGACTTGATTGCGAGCCACACAGAGACCAAGAGGACGGGACTTTGGCGGGACGCGACCACGCTTGGCCTGCGGTGAGCGGGCTGACTCTCCCAGACTTCAGGCCCACCGAAGGTATCCTCCACGCCCTGGGAGCCAATGTTGACAAGCCGCGGTCTTGCCCTTCAAGACGAGTGGTCACCTGCTGACTGGCGACCCCCAGCGATTAACAAGCGCAACAGCTCGCAGGAAATTTCGCAGCGGACTTCGCGGCACGACAGGATCCGAACGTCAACTGACAATGGGTCTGGGCCCTATTTCGCCTCATGTCGTGCGCCCGGCTCGGCACGCTTCTCACTAGTCGCTACTTGACCGACTTCATCCTAGGCCTCCACGTCAGTGGAGGCCTAGGAGAACTCTGACGGTCTGGAGAACTCTGACGGTCTGGAGAACTCTGACGGTCTAGAGAACTCTGACGGTCTGGAGAACTCTGACGGTCTGGAGAACTCTGACGGTCCGGCGGCACGTCTCTGGCACGGCGTCGGAGCCGTGACCCAGCCTTGGGTCAGCGACCTGTCGCCGCCAGCTGACGCCTGCCGACCGACTGACGGCGGCGGCGGCCGGCCAGGAATGCGACAGCGCCGGTCGGGAGTCAGAGGCCTGACTCACGGCCGGCTCCTGGCCTCGGAGCCGGGGCGGTCGGCCCCTGGCGACAGCCAGGTCGGAGGCGGCCGACCCGATGGACAGGACAGCGCCGATGAAGGGACATTGCAGGTAGTCCGTCGCGAAAAAGCGGAAACCTGAAGGGTGTGGTTCACCCTGGGATTACCAGTTAACGAGTCGCGGGTCATGAGTCGCGGTGCCTCCCCGACGAAAATACACGCTGAAGGAGGGACGGGGCAGAACGCCGCGAGGAAAACGCAGCCCACCATGTATGAATGGCCAGAGCGGCGAGAAGACTAGAGTTAAGGATGGTGACTGTAGTTCCGGGACAGTGAGCCAGAGCCATTGTGCGAATGGCGGTGATATGAGAGGCGAGAAAAACATAGGGCTTCTAGTCAGTACAGGCATCACGTGACCTGTCCGGAGAAATCAAAATTGCGGTCATCGAGCTATTTAAGTTGATTTCGTTCCTGTTCCGCCGGAAGTTTTTGGAGTCGTTCATCGGCATACGTACTGTTCATACGTACTGTTGTTTCTCTTCTCTAAGGAAAGACATCACATCCCGCGCTGACCTGGGACCCTGGAGCGCAATGCTCATGGAGCGGTTTACCTTATCTATCGAACGTGTCGCAAATTTTCGGCCTTAGATGAGCCAAGAGATTAACCGTTTGGTCTTCAGACAGCGCAATTGCCTACCACCAGCGACACCACAGCACCAATTGCCCACCACCAAAGCATCTGCCGCATCGCTCACACTCTACCCACACACGTAATCTGACACTACGCTGCCACTGACACCACCACCTCCGCACGGCACACACAGCTCCGCCACCACGTCCACCTCACCCGGGCACCACAGGCCACCGCCGAGGTCAGGCCACCACACTCACCACTGGAGGGGATGGGGCCGACTGACCCGGTCTGACCCGACACGGCTGGCGCGCGGCGGGCGAGAGGCGGCGGCCACCGGAGCGGCCCGGCTCGGCCGGCGGCGGCGGCCGGCCCGACAGGAATAGACCTGGCACGCCGCCGACGCCGCCGCCGCCGACGTCCGCTCGGCCCCCGTAGCTCTCGTAACGCTCCAGTCGGGGGGAGCCAGGCACGGCAGGGCAGACCGGAGGAGGTGCCGTGGAGCCGGACACGGCAGGGCAGACCGGAGGGGAGGTGTCGTGGAGCTGGACACGGCACGGCAGACTGGGGGAGGTGCCGTGGAGCCGGACACGGCAGGACAGACTGGGGGAGGTGCCGTGGAACCGGACAGGGCAGGGCAGACCGGAGGAGGAGGTGTCGTGGATCCGGACACGGCTGCCACCGTGTAACGAGCCGCAATACCGGCACAAGCCCACGCACAGCACTCGCGGGTCCAACTACGGACAGCGCACAGTGGCACAGCTCTGTGGCAGGAACAGCACAGCACAGCAACCACGACTACGCCGGCTCCACTGCCAGCCGACATACCGCACCGTCCCACACCTTCCGACGCACCCTTTGAAACCATTAACCAACCTAGCCACGTCGCCGACGTCATTTGACACAGCGAACGAGGAACAACACGAGCCACAACCACCACCTTGCTGTGACGCCCCGCATCACCAACGATTGCGCCTCGCCGGCGGCGTCAAAATATTTGCGCGAGAGAAGACACACACGCACATCACGTACGCTCGACACTCGGCTTGACACACATCACTGCCTGACACGCACCTGACTGACCGCCATGCCCCAGGTTGACCGGCAGCTCGTCAACTCCTCACGGATCTCCATTTACCGGCAGCGACAGTCGATGCGGTCCTGAGCGCCGCGTGGCCCTCATCGCCGCGACGAAAGACCCGGAAGTGTTCGGCGCCGGGGGAAAGGAACATCGCGCGGCCCGAACTGATCAACACGTGTCTGTATCAGGACCAACCGTGCTGTTGCGAGCCGTGAGAGCGACGCTACACGAAATGTTCGAAAGCAGCATTCGAGACGCAACTGCACTACAACCTCAGCCAAGTCCACGGGAAGCCATCAGCTCAAAAGTCACATCCGAATGCCATCGATCGTCGCGAAAGCGTACGAAATCCACCTGCAGAGCTTCGCGAGTTAAGGGGACTTAAATCCGAGCCGATTCCAAAGCGGGCTGCTGGCACCGACCTCACCGACGTCTGAACTGGATAGCGGTGATTCAGAGACCCAAAAAACCAGCTGGCATTTGTAACACCTGACCAGACCTGGCAGCGTTGCCCCGTCGGCAGAGACATCTATCAGCCGGAGGACAAAGCCGCACAGCCTCGGCGGGAAGCGCTCCGGTTCACTAGCGCCATAGCGGCCGAAACGGTAAGTGATGGTTTGCCAAAGGAAGGTTGGCGGCGCTACGGCCGCTAGACGCAGCCTCGCGGTTTTCTGAGAATTCAGCTTGTCATGACAACAGCCGCCCAAGGTAAATGCATCCAATCAAGGTAAAGCCACCCGGAGATGGAGCTGAACAGGACAACTACCCGCTTTTGCGATATACAGTCGAAATGCGTAGGATACCTCAGAGGCTTTCGTGTTTTATCAGGTAGGCAAGACACCAACACTTATGCGAGTGGAGTCAGATCCCCTTGAAGCCCAATCAATGTATCTGGAAAATGCACTGGAATATCCGTCTTCCCCAGACACCCAGTGACTGATGTAGCGATGCAGACTTCGTGCGCTGATTCACAGCATTGTCTGAAAATTGGCTGCCTTTGGACCCGGTCGGGCTTTGCCGGGTAAGTCCATATGGAAGAGCCAAAGCCGAGATAGCCAGAGATGAGGCGGATCAGATAGACACGGCGGGCGGGGCGGGCCGGCAGCTGGGGTGCTGGCACCCGACCGAGGAAAGGCAGCATGTGCTAGTCAGGACATGCAGCTTGGCCACGGGAACGACATGGCGGGCAGCGAAGAGAGGGCACGTAAAGGAGACAGACAGACGGACAACCCACAGAGCGGGCGGGGAAGTCGGTGCAAACACGCGAGCCAGGACAGAGCGGTCAGACAAGACTGGCGGGCTGCCAGCGGAGGCCGGCGCTTCACTGCAAAGGCGTGGTGCCGTCCACGGGTCGGGACAGGCCAACCCCGCCCCGCATACAAATGGAGGCAGGTGGCACGAGGGCGCCGGGATCGAGGCGTCAGCGCAGAGATC